GGTGACACCTAGGGTGTCCTATTAAGCTGGGTTCTTTCAATGGGGTAGTGATAAAAATTCCTTATGTGGTAATTCTCGCTTCTACTCTTACGAGTGGAGAATTCTTGCCTTTGCTTCCACAATAAGGTCACTACTTACAATCCCACTGTTTTGGTATGAATAGGATATATCTAGTGATATATCCCTATTCCAATCACTCTCACACTTTCATAATCAGACTTTTAAAACGTGTTTTTATTTTTATTATTTAACTATCATTATTATTACTATGTTTAGTAGGCCTCTTTTCCAAGGATTTGTAGGACCCGCGCATCCTTTTTTAACGGCTTTATAGGACCCGCGCGTCATTCAATTTAACTTTTCCAATTAGGACTCTACCGTCCTTTTTTTCACGGATTTGTAGGACCCGTTTGTCCTTTTTCCACAGATTTATGTACGTAGGACCCGCGCGTCCTTTTTCCACGGATTTAAGTAGGACCCGCGCATCCTTTTTGGTCTTTTATACATTCTCTACACAGAGCAAATCTCAATCATTCCACGTTCCTTTTTATAAAAGACCAACTCACCACTTGTCTTTCCCCTTGGCTTTGGATTTCCGTCAACCGTCGGATCCCAGCAGGCGGGTCGAGTCCAGTTCCTCAAAGAGGTCTTTAAGACTCATCCTAGAGAGTCTGCCGTGGCCACGGTCTTATCTGTCGTCCACCTCACCTGCTGGAATCGTCAGGTCTATTGGAATCCGGCTCAAAGGACCAAAGAAATGTTGGGTATAAAACCTGCAACATTTGACTGAAAACATATAAAGAAGAGAAAGACAATGGTATATACTCGAGGAGAATGGACAGAGATAGCTGCAGTTGCAATCCCAAAACCATTCTGAAAGGTATTTCCACCCAGTCTCTTTATTAAGGGTTGTCCCTGGTTACACAATGTTTCTAAAGGATGGGGGAAAAATATGTGCAGCAACGTAAGCACTCTCATAAAGCATAATAATGAACAACTGAGAATGTGTGAGGGTCAAGACGACATTGTTGCATCAAACGAGCTCCTTCTGATAGGAGCGGATCCTCCTCATACTTCCCACGATTCACAGTGGAGGATACATCACACACACACACACACCTGCTGATAGGAGAAACGAGTTCACAGAGAAGTTAAGAAACATTCATGTGATGTGTAATAAAGCTATTGGAGAGAGAAGTTAGAAAACACTCTTATATGTGTAACAAGAGGTTAAAACAGTTCATACTTGTAGCAAACTCTTACATAAGAATTTGAGTAAGATGATAACTTCTATATACATTTATACACATTATTCTGACACTTATCCCCTTTTCTTGGGCGTAAGGAATACCCCGAAGTAGATGGCTTTTCTACTCTTTTCTTCTTCAAGTCTTTGTTTACTATTTGTAGCTCTTCTAATTCTTATCTCAATTCTCTATGTTTTTCAGGACTGGTGGCACCTCTTAAGTCATCATAGCATTTATCTATGTGTTTCTCAATCCTTTTCAAGGCTCTGTGCTTTTCCTCTGCTTCAGTCTTTGGTGTTGACCAAAGGGTATATGAAGACTCTTCACTCTCTGATTCTTCATCCCTATCATCATCTCCACTCTCTTCTGAGGTGTCTTTTACTGGCTCTTTTTTCCTCAGTGTTTTTTCTCCTCTTTTCTCTGCTTTGGCTAATACATGTGTAACTGCTGGGTCATAACCTCCAATAGCCTCCTCTGAATCACTCTGACTGTCATCTCCCATTTCTATTTTTCTATACCTTTGTTCACTTCTTGCTGCTGGATGACCTGTTTTCTTTTTACTTTTACTGCTTGGGTACATCTTTATAGTTGTTTTAGCTGTTCCTGTCTCTATTATCTGCTCCTCCTCGTCTTTGTTGTGATACGTGCCCTCCTGTTTGATTACGGGGAGCTGAGGATAGACATCAGTGTACCTTATGTCTTTCTCATACGGTGGGGGGCTCTTCACTGGGGTCGCATGTGAGAAAGGTTCATTCACTTTTGTCATCATTTTTCTGTTTCTTTTAACATTTTTATTTCTTCCACAATCCTGTCCTTTCTTTCCTTATCTGCTTTTAGCATCTTCTGCCCCTCTTGCTCAAACAATTGCAAAATGCCAAGCTCCATCTGTCTCTTTTCCTGACATTTCTTTCCTTTCTTTTGCTCTGCCTTATAGGTGGACACTAGCACTTGCATTGTTTTAACTACTTCTGGATTAAGGGTACCTTCCACTGGCCAAGGCTGGTCAATATCCGGCCACCTCTTACTCCATTTCTTCTATATTTTTTCGATACCGTTAACAAGTGGATTGCTCTTCATCACTACATCAACCGGAGTGATAGCTTTCAAACATTTAACCTCCATCTTTGGCATTGTGCTACTGCCTTTAAATGTCGTCATAGAAATCAAAAACACCAATACGTTTATTCAAAGCACAGTATAGCTGTTTTCACCTTAAGCCAAGAAAAGCCAAAGAAATCTGCCAGCCCTGGAGGCTTAAAACTTCTCAACACCCAAGAAGATCAATTTGTGTGAATTTATCAAGCAGCAATGACAACCCACATCCATAAGCTTAAGCAAAATGTAGACCCCTTAGAAATGCTCTATTAATTCATGAATACTTCAGCACTTAATCAGCCATTTCAACTGAGGCCTGTACTACGAAGCTGGATTAACAAATCCAGGATAACTCTGCGACAACTCGCTCAACTTCACCGGATCGCCGCGATCCCGATCAGCTGTACTACGAAGCAGGATATCAACTCGATAACTGAATCCAGTTTAGATCTGTGCGCGCACACGTAAAGGGGGTCGGGTCAGTGCCACCGGACCAATCTCCACAATGGAGAAGGCTGCACGTCATTTTTCACAGCTGAAGAACAGAGCTTTATTTAAACAGTGAGACAGACACAGCCGCTAAAAGCCGGAGGGACTGCCGGCAAAAAAAATCACCGGTTGTTTAAATTACATTTGTGCGTTCATAAATTTATGGCCCCCTAATATATTTTCATGCAGCGTGTGTGATCACCACCATCACTGACCTCATTATTTAAGATACAACAGCAGTGGGGAAAAGAGTACGTGGGAGCAAATAAAAATAAATCTAAAAACATCCTTTAAAGTAGTTTGTAAGTTTATTGGAAGATTTTATTTGTACATATTTCAACGCGTAAACAGTGATTTCCTCACACTGCCTTTTTTTTTTCTCCATCATCTGATGGTAACATCATCTGCAGACACATTTGGGGTTAAGAGTTTTCTTATCTGCTTCAATGAATTCTGAAAGATGACTAACAAATTTGAACCTGGAGCTTGGCAAATATTAGTGTATTGCTTAGACTTCTTGCTACCTGAATATTGAGGCCGTCCGAGGAAAACCTGTAACGTTCATAGAGAACGTCATCAGGTAAATCAAACGGATTTGAACGATCATGAATATAACGCTCTCGGCGGAGCGCTCCTCTCACTATCCGTGCAACGATGTCCCCGGGATCCGGCAAAAGTGGGCAAGCCATTTTCCAAGAGATCCGATTGGTCATCGGGCGGTTTTTTATACCTGCTGAGATCTTATCCTGAAACATAACCTGCTCCGGAGCAGGTTTGGCGTTCCGCGTAAGTTACCGGGGCAACGGACCCGGATAAAAAGAGATCCACCTTCGTAGTACAGAAAACCCAGAAGTTATCCAGAAGTTATCTCGCTAAGACCAAATCCAGCTTCGTAGTACAGGCCTCTGGTCAGTCTATTGCCAAGCTTTCCTTCTTCCTAACACCAACACAGTGTATTAGACACCCCCCAAACAACTACTCTTATTATCTAGCACTACCAAATGTATACACCCAACTAAATGTGTTTCCACTATAAGTGTGTGTATGTACAACTAAGTAGCAGCAGACACATAGGAGAAGAGTTTGTAGATAAATTGTACTGGCCTGTCAAATGGAAACAGGACCTGGTGTGCCTCTCATCCGCAAGCCCCCTCTTGTTTGCAGCACAGCCAATTATCTTCTCATCTGTCCCATGGGAGCTCCAGATTCAGATGCATTCCATTCTCCTCTCCCCTCTCATGCATCAGAGTTAAGGACAAAGGACAAATCAAATGTTTAGTACATTACAATCACTTCACGCAATATAATTTAAAGCACCTTTCCTACCACTATTTAAAGATTTCTTCTCCCATAAAACTACCTAAATTTATTATACACAATTCCCCTTTATCAAGGTATACCATTCAAAGGTTTCACACAACAGTTATAGTTCAACTAAATTATTATTATTATTTTTTTAGCTCTCTTTCTGTTCTCAGGCCTGTAAGAAGAGAAAGAAAGGGGGAGGAAAAGCTCACTGGATTCTTCCAATCTTAAACTAGGACTTTCCCTCTAAACATGATCATCAGCAAGTGACCATCAACTTTAAATCTTCACACACACAGAGAAAAACCACACCCATCAGTCAGCAACTCACCCCACTCTTTTACTCTGTTTTTTTTTCCTGTATCTGTATGAACACAAACGTCCTTGCTGGTCTTTACACTTCTTTAATTGCAATATTAGTCACGGATGTTATCACCAACCAAAGTCCTCCTCATCTAATGAGGGGCTCATTTCTTATTATTAGGTGTACAAATGTCCTCTTTATCCTGAGAGGCTCATAGCAGTTAGTTATTCTATTAACGTCCCTGTACAAAGAAAAACAGGGCTCATATATATTTAACACTACCAAGGCAACAGTATCTCTTCCCTTATATGTTAATTTCTTATATCATATCATTATATATTTAATAAGACATCATTTATCACTTTACCATAAATTAATCACTTATACCTCTGCTAGACCATTCCCCAACTTTGTGCACACACCACTCACTGCACACAGACTCACTTGCCCTCACACTCACAGCTTGGCATCCATGCACACACTCCTCTCTCTCACACACACACACCAGAAGCTTCTCTCACACACTCAAATTCCAGCACACCTCTTCTCACTGAGCTCAATGTTTCCTTACAAAACGGTAAGGACAGTTAGAAGAAGAAAAGGCCTTTATACTAATAAAGGCCTTTTCTTCTTCTAACTGTCCTTACCGTTTTGTATGGCCAATCGCGTCATCCCTAACTTTATGTTTACTTAATTTCCTTTCTCTTCTTTAAACTGTCCTTACCGGTTTGTATGTCCAATCACGACTTCCCTACCTGTACATTAACTTATTCTCTCGCTTCTCTATTCCTGGGCCATCTCAGCCCTTTTCTCTTTTTCACTTTGTCTCTTTTACTTTATTCTCTTTTCACTTTGTCTCTTTTACTTTATTCTCTTTTCACTTTTCTTACTCTTTATTTGCCAATTACCCTGGGCTCTGGGTTTTCACTCCTCACTTTTCTTTGCACGCCCCGAATTCGACTATCCTTTTTCAGCCAGACGTTCACATTAGTCACTAATTTACACGTCTTACCGTTAAGAAGATATGGGCCCTGTCTTCATTAATCTTGCACGGTTATTTAGCACACTCCCATTACTAGTCTCAGCTATTCTACTTCTCTAAAACTTCTTTTCTTTTCTCTTCTACCTCAATTAAGACGAAGCCTCTCTTCAGCAGCACATCACAGCCTTTCCACACAAGATACTTCTACTCAGTACAGCCAAACAGCTGAACACAACAGCTCCAACAACTAAACCAGCAGCACTTTATGTGAGTCAAACACTCACCTGGCGCCAATGTGGTGCAGGAATAGATGTGCTGAAGCTGCAGTGATCCTCTGGAGGCCATATCTGATCCTGTTCGTGACGCCAATTTGTTGTGTCTGGGCTGTCCGCGATGTGTTGATGCTGAAGAAGGCTTCGTGACACTGGCTTGCTTGTATAATAGGAGTTTATTAGAAAGACAACACCAATATCAATACAGCACTGCAGTTGCTGGGAGAGGACTGCCAAATGATGTCCAGCTCTCCCAACCAGAGTTTTTGACCCTGTTATATACGGTTAGGGGTGTACGCTCTCCTACACCCTATCTTTGTTCCCAATCTTTCGTTACCATCTGATTTTTATGTAACCTAGAGTTGTGATTTGTGACTGGTGCCCTATGACCTGTAGACATGTAACTTTCAGGAGAGAAAAGAAAAACACAAGCCCATATTTGTACATTTGGTCCCCCCAGGCTGTTTTTGAGAATTATCACCTCAGGCTGTTTCTAAGGAATACCTCAAGGCCTTACATGGTGGAGCATTACTCCAGATACCACAGAAGAAAAAAAGCACATTTGTTAGCTGAGATGAGCGCCAATTAACTATTTTGCACAACCCAAAGTAATTTTTTTAAACTTTATATGTTTTGAAACAGGCTTCTTCCAGATAAAAATCCCAGCAATGAACCGTGGACTTGTTAAAGGAGAGATTAAGGCATCCTGTCATATCTCAGCCATCATTCTGTTTTAAGGTACCTTTAAGCTAGAGCTCTAATTAGCAAACATGGTAGTTTGGGGCAACATGTCTCAGTTATTCTGGGGTAAGTCGTCACATGTGATAACTTACCCCAGAATAACAGGTTTAAAAAGGACTAAAATTAACATAGAGGGCTCTATTTTCGTGCCTCGCCGGCGACATGGCGCATGCGCGGCGTAAGTCAGGTCTGCCACGCCGACAAGGGGTTCCCGAGCACAATTTGGTATTTTGGAGGGCGGTGCAGCCCGGCGTAAGTATCCCCCCTCCCTAACTCAGCTCCTCCTAGCAGTGTAAGTCGTAGGAAGGGAGGAGAGAGGGCGTGGAGTGGGTTTAACACAGCCAAGACCTGTTTTCACCAATCACATAAGTTCCTCTCCTAGCCTTTAAATCCGCCACCGGCAAGGCATATTACAATTTTTAACTTCATTTGTTAACTTTAATTGTTTACTTCATCATGTGTGTCTATTTACTAGATATTTAATTTAATTTAATGCGGTTTCAGCTGTGTTGATTCGGTCAGGATGTGTGTCCAAACACGTGACAAACCTGCTCAACAGATCAGATATAGATCAGAATATTTCTATATAGATCCAAATGTATGTGCTGACTCAGATTAGTAGTTGTTGTTGGTTATTTATTGCACTGAAATGTGCCTGACACTGTGGAAACCTGCCGGTGAGGCATCTGAGATGTATGCCGATATGCCGCCGGTCTACCAAAATACCACTAGACCAGCTGCGGTCCGCCTGCGCTGAAAGCTGACCAGGTTTGAATCAGCGAGCTTTCGGTGCACTTTACATGCAGGTGGCAAGCACGAAAATGTCACTGCACCAGCTGATTCTGTCGGCACCCTGCCACGCCACCATGCCCAGCTTGGCGGACCTTGGTACGCCTTACGCCTGGTTCACACAGGAAGCGCGGCGCGCGGAACGGCTCGCGCTCTGGAGCGCAGCCACTCCGCTTCTCTCTATTTTTTGCGCAAGCCACAAGGACCAATTGTAAAGCTGGACAGAGTAGATCAGACCAGACAGGAAGTCTGAATAGGAGATGCGAGAGAATCCGGTCAATTTTCAAAATAAATTTTTTTTTAAAAATTAGAAAAAATGGGTTTTACGGTGTTGCTTGTCAGTCTATTTTTTCCTGATGAACACGCCTACACACAAACACACACACATGGAGGGAGAGCGGCAGAGATTCAGTGATGATAGAGTCAATAGCCCCGAGCTAACAAGGCTACACATACAATGGAGTCAACAGACTCCCCAATTCATTCATTGTTTACCCCTATATAATAATTTAAAACAATACTTAAAGATGCTGCCAATATTTAATTTATGTATGACGTAATAAAAACAGTAATAAATATTGAGTTACCCATGTTTAAAGCGCTCGTAAGTGTGGAAAACTGAGGGCAGACGGAACCAGCTGAGCACTGCCCGGCTCAGTCGATGTCTGACCAGTGCGTCAGAGCACAGCAGAAAACGCTTTATGTGTGAGCGTGCGTCGGCATCCTGTGTGAACCATGCGTTAGTCTATGAAAATACCAAACTGGCTGTACACCGGGCTCCGCCAGACGAAAACACTACTGCGTGGGGTCTGCCACCCTCCGCTGCGTCCCCAGCGGACACGAAAATAGAGCCCAGAGAGTTTGCTTATCAGCAGTTGTCATGATATGTTCTGGTATTTAGTTTTCCCCTGGTTTTGTTATTTGAGTGTATTTTCTTTGTTTTTTCTTAGTGTTTCTGTTCCCCTGTAGTCCTGTCTTGTGAGTTTTATAGTTTTATAGTAAGTTTTTGTTGCTTCTTTTTAAATTCTTTTTTAATTAACCCTTTTTTTATCTACATTTGAGTCCTTTCCCTTTTTGTTTAACTTCGATTCATGACATCATGTTGAAATTTTGACTTTATTTTTACACAGAAAAGAGTGGTTTAAAGGAGAGCAGAAAGTGAGAAGACATGGTCAGGAATTTCAAAAGAAAAATAGAACGTGGCAGTGCAGAACCTGACGTGATGCTGAGGACAGTCAGACAGGTGACCCTGGCAAATAAATCGATCTGGAGCACTATAAAGGACTTAAATGTCAACTACCACACCTTAGCTTGGTACTGCAAAACATTCACCCCAGCCAAAATATGGAGTTAGCCAGCTGTCCCAACAACGGTGGTTGGGTACAAATCACCATGGCAGGTTTATAGCACACAGTTGGAACTGCAACTTGAGGAGTATATATGAATTTGTATGAATCTTCTAGTTGTTGTTGGAACTATGTCCACATTTTCAGGACTGTTTTGAGTTTTATAATGCTTTTTCTGGTAATTCAATTCAACGAGAATTTTCAGTTTAAAAAAGGTAAAACAGGCATTTGACATTGAGAACCATAGCCATGTGCCAGCAGTTCCTACAGACTTTAATCCAGTGCATGTTATGTAATATTTTATGTTAACGTTTGTTCAATTACTTTTTCTAGCTCACTGATAAACATTTTCTGTGCCTAACTTTGATGTTCACTTTCAAGTTAAAAAATGAGAACAACAATAATTTTGTCCTTGCTTTATTAGCTGCAAAATTTACTGTGACATCTTATCCCATGTCGTGAGACAACTTACCCCATGGTGGGGCATGTCACATGTTCCCAATCTCTATTTGACTGCTTATAACTCTGCACTGACACAAGATCTGAAAATGACATGAATATGAAATGTACAGTGCATCCGGAAAGTATTCATACCACTTCACTTTTTCCACATTTTGTCATGTTACAGCCCCTCAAAAATTCTACACAAAGTACCCCATAATGACAGAACATTTTAGAACATTTTGCAAATTTATTAGAAAAATAAGAACACTCAAATGTTGCATATACATAAGTATTCACACCCTTTATATAATACTTGGTCGAAGCACCTTTGGCAGCGATTACAGCCTCCAGTCTTCTTGTGTATGATGCAACAAGCTTGGCACACCTGGATTTTGGGAGTTTTTCCCATTCTTCTTTGCACATCCTCTCAAGCTCAGTGAGGTTGGATGGGCAGCAGCGGTGCACAGCTACTTTCAGGTCTTTCCAAAGATGTTTAACCGGGTTCAAGTCTGGGCTCTGGCTGGACCACTCAAGGACATTGAGAGACTTGTCCTGAAGCCACTCCTTTGTCTTCTTGGCCGTGTGCTTAAGGTCATTGTCATGCCGGAAGATGAAGCGTCGCCCCAGTTGAAGGTCCCGAGCACTCTGGAGCAGGTTTTCATCAAGGATTTTGATTTACTTAGCTGCATTAATTTTTCCCTCGATCCTGACAAGTCTCCCAGTTCCTGCTGCTGAAAAACATCCCCACTGATGCTGCCATCACCAGACTTCACTGTAGGGATGGTATTGGCGAGGTGGTGAGCGGTGCCTGGTTTCCTCCAGACATGACACTTGGCATTCAGGCCAAAAAGTTCGATCTTTGTTTCATCAGACCGGAGATTTTGTTTCTCCTGGTCTGTGCGTCCTTCAGGTGCCTTCTAGCAAAGTCCAAGCGGGCTGTCATGTGCTTTTTACTGAGGAGTGGCTTCTGTCTGGCCACTCTACCATAAATGCCTGACTGGTGGAGTGCTGCAGAGATGGTGGTCCTTCTGTAGGGTTCTCCCATCTCCTCAGAGTAATGCTAGAGCTCTGTCAGAGTGACCATCGGGT